AAAAAGTTTTGAGGGGTGTTTTTCAAAATCAGTTTTTGAAAATTAGAACCTTTATTTTTTAAGAAACATATGAAAGATTAGGTTGGTTTAAGTTGACTAAATACATCGGGGGGTCTTTAAACACCCAAAACATCTCCCTGCTTACGTGCCTGCTAGGTAGTAAAATACATTATTATTTATACCCGTGGTGCAATACAATTTTTAAAACGCCTCTCTCACCTTGATCGACCCTCGGCAACGCCACTGGGTAATACAGTTTTAATAGTGAACGTGTATCACAAAATATAGGAACGGATCCACTCAATGGCGCTTTTTTTTTATTCATCCTTATAGGTATTATTTTCGATGATATTTTTGGGGTTAATAATATTGTGCAATTACAGAAGAAAAAAAAAGTTCTGAGGATGTGTGTGCCATGTTACTGGTGGGAATCTGGAAAGTACATATTGTATAAGATTATTTAATCTATATCTGTAAGCAACGATAAACCATTGCTAACGAATAGCGATTCAGAGCGAAGTTCGGTTATACATGTTTAAAAAGGCCGTAATGTTTACGGTTTTCAGAAAAATTTGTAATTAGCAGTAATAAAAAAAAAATATACCATATTATACACTAAAAAAAAATGCAAAAAAAAAACGATACTTATATGCATTAGATTAATTAAATAATTAAGTTTCAATCTATTTACTTAATTTCTTTCCGAAAAAATACTTTGGGCGGTAAGTATATAAGTAAAAAAATGTTACCGAGAAACTTTTGATGATTATTAAATTATTTGCGTATTCATTTTTTCGTTTCGAAACAAGAAAACAAAATATGATCTCAAATTAAATAAGGCAATCTACCGGAAACAAGTCCAGACGGAGCGCGAGGGTCGCCGCAAGCGGAACACCGTGCGCCCTAATACAAACAAGAATATTATAAATAGTTTAGACGAAATTGACATCAAGGAACCGAGAAATTATAGTATCAAAACGTGTATCATAATATATTTTGTTTAACGAATAAAAAGAAACATTTATATTATGTACTCGTATAATAGTTACCTACCGGCTACAACTTTTTCGAAAACCAATTAATTTTGCGTAGCTATACCTGCCTAAATCAATTACTTTTAAATATTTCAACGAACAAATTAATATATTTGTGCCACTCCTTAGATATTATACCGTGTTTTATAAAAGATTTGATCAAATAAAAAAAAAACCAAGGGGAAGCATAGTTCCGTTACTAGAATCGAATATTCACTCATTTTCTATGAATAAATCGAAAAATTACCGAACGTTTTAAATGTTTTAATAATAAAATATTTTACTATACTAAAATTACACTTAATAGAAAAAAATTTTGTGGGAGGGTAGAAAGTGAAAACCTTTAAAAGGCACATCCTTAACCATTGAATGTCATGCATTTAAAAAATGTTCTCCTCCTGACTTTATTCGAGGAATCTAAAGTTGAACAAAGCAAACATAACTTCCATTATTCACAACATAGTTAAATCCATATTTAAATTCAACCTGACCGGTATCGTTGCAATTCGTGCCTAAAAAAAAAACTCGAATTTCTGAGTTTAAACTCATTTTGGTCGTGTGCAGCAAAAGTCTCTATTTATTCTAATTAAATATTTATTAGTTTATTATTATATTACAATCTTTAAGCAAAGCGTTATATTATTTAATTTCAAAACATATATTTAAAAATTCTCAGAAAAAAAAGACGATTTTTATAAATAATCAAATTAAATGTCCGAAAATATCGCCTCGTTGAAATAATAAGTGTTCTAAATTTACGAAAAAACGCAGAAAAGCTGAATCTTGGTAATCTAATGATTTTTCATATCGTAAAAATCATAAAAAAAGGAAATTTAAATAAAAACATTATTAAAACGAAAACAACGACGGGACGAATAAATTATTCTACGTGTAAAAAAAAAAATATAATCGCCAAAACAATAAATAATAATAATTATTAACATTATGAATAATCGTATAATACCTATTGAAAACTATATTAAAAAAAACATTATTAAATTTTTCATTATTGATGAAATCGTTGAAGTAATAAAATGGACGAGAAAATTACGTTTTTACACAGTCGGAAATTTAATATTTTATTGTTTAAAGCAATATTATTTACCTATCGATATTAAATTCATAGTTTTAGCACACCGGCAGAAAATTTAAAAATAACAATGAAAATGTGTTCTTAAATTCTTTAACAGATTGCTAGATAAAGTATTCACGACAGCGTTACGAACATGATTTAATACAATATAATATTATTTTAATTTAAAATGTGAGCATCGAAAATCAATATCGGTCTATTGAAACAATCGCTATATTTTACATATTACTTACTTTCGGATTAATTTAAAGGATCTCGCTCTAATAATTGCTTTCCCTGATATAGCAACAGAGGTACTCCATATTTGTGATTCTCTGCTGAAGGATCTATGAATGTTTTTTTTAAATTTTTTTTTTTTTAATTTATTTGCATATATAAATAAAAAATTATTGAAAAATGCAGTATACTTCAAAAAATAAAAGTTGTAATTTAGAGTTTATAGAAAATAAAAAAAAAAAATCCGAACTCAGAACATTTCCAATAAAATTAATTTCCAATAAATATACGGATAACATCAGTCACATGCTTCATTATTTAATTGAATTTTGAATCAAAGAGAGATTACTAGGCTTCACTGAGTTAAAAACTCGTGTTGTGGCCCAGGAGTTATTTTGATTACAACATGTTATTCATTATTTATACATAAAAATTCAAAGAACATAAGTTTAATATATAATATAAATATAGAAAGGCAAAGAACAGTGAACATTTTCAGGGGAGGGGACGATAAGAACGATAAGAGCGCCCCCCTTATTGATTTTTTTTATTACGCATAACATATATATCTATACAAATAATATTTTTTAAATGATTTATTGTTTATTTATTTATTATTCATTTATTTGTTCAGTAATATAACTTTGATATAGTTAATTAAAATAAATAATAATAATACATGGGTTGTTAATTTTATTTATTTGTATTTTGTAGCACGGTTTTAAAAGATAAGGTCGGCAATCTGTTTAACTTCGCTATATTAACCTCTGGTAACTATTATTACCACTATGACCATGACCGTGATTGTTAACAATATTACGCAGATATAACAGTTACAATAATATAAAAGTGAATTAAAAGGCTCATGAGTCTCGAATTAAATGAAGGATTGAAACTTCACTTTTTATTACTACAGTTAGCAGTTTAGTTACATTCGATACACAATGAAGCGTCAGAAGTGATGAAAGTATATGATGTTAATATAAACTTGTCTTTAATCAGCACACGTCAGAATCATAGACCTAACCCACCACGTAAATCTACAGAAGAATACTGTAAGGTACGATTAGGTTATTATACATTCCACAATTTGATAATATTATTGAAGACGTAAAGGAATGAATCATTAAAACAAAAAATAAATCGCTATTGGCTTTAATGCCACTCATACCAATTTATTTAAAAAAATTAACCACAAATAATATAGAATTATTAGTTGATGTTACATTAATTTAATTTGAATACTTGATTGTAAAATAAACGTTCTTCAAAAAAGAAATATCGATTTTGTACTTTAATAATATGACGTTTTTATTTTTAATATGGTAATATTCGTTTTCACTTAATTTTAAATTGTTTTGTTGTTAGTTTAAATTATCAACGTATTTATATGTATTTAATACGTTAATACACGTGGTTTATGTTTTAATTAGGTTTGGAAGCCTTAATGCTGTAATTTGAGGTATACATTTTGGGGAGTCACCCCCATTGGCATATATCTTGGCAAATATAAGAGGAAACTTTAGAAGCTTTATAAGGTGATCTGAACAAATATTGGAGGATGCGTTCCCGTGTCCCCATCAATTTATCACTGTTGCCCCCCCTAGAAGTTTGGTCAAAACCACCACTGAAAAGAGATTCAATGGCTAGGCAGTTGGAATGCGAGGATAATAGTTAAATGCAAAACAGTTTTAATTTGGAAACTAATGGGCAAGAGACCGCGGGGCTGGCCCAGGAAAAAGATGGATAGATATGGATGTTATAGAAGAGTACCTTGATGTAAAATGGGGGTACAATGAGAGTGTAGAGAAGTATAGTCCGTGGACCCGATAAAGTGAGAACAGATTATTGATGGCGACGAAAACCACACAGAGTATAATTATATAATTAAATACTAGAAAAAGAACAAATGTCGTAAAATTAAGAACTGCTGTTTGCTATTACATAACGCGTATTTTATCAAATGTTGTAACCATGATTTCGCTAAATATATAAAACGGTTTTTTTTTTTTTTTGATAAAGGGTTTGTTGTAAAATAGTTTAACATTATATGATTATGTTTGTACGAGAGAATCGAAGAACAAGACGTAGAAATATGTTTTTCAAGAGAAATTCTAAGTTTTTTAAGTCTTTAATTATCAAAATTTGTTATTAGGTGACCTATAAATAATAAAATTGATGAAAATGGATTAAAATTTAATATGATAATTTACTTTCAAAAATTGCCCGAATAATTAGAAGAAACAATTAATAAAAAATAAAAAACAATATTAAAAAATGTTTAAAAGGTTTATCGTGTAATTTCCTTAGGGTTTTTTTCTTAGTAAATTTTATGTAGTAAATTTAAAAAAAATTAATCATTTATTAAAAAGGCGTGAGATGTTTTTTTTTTTTTTTTGTTTTAAAATTAAAATTTAAGTTTAACTAACATTATCGTATTTTATTAAACAAAATGTGAATCTTTTGAAAGATCAATAAATTTTTTTATATAATAACAAATCGTGTTGGAAATATAACAGCTTGTACATCAAACATTACGTGCGATAATAAAAAAATATGAGTATACATAATTTTCTATAAAGTCAATTTTTTAAGAGAAAACAAAATGTCGTTGTCATAATTTAGTTAAGTATTCTGAAATGTCAGAAAAATCAATTTGTTTTTTTTTTTAAACTTGAGAGGGCAATCTTCTAGTCATCGACCACCTATACAAAATGTATACAAAAAAAAATAAAAAAAAAAACAGTCTATCACCTTCTGCACAAACAATAATAACGTTTGAGTTTTGAAATTCAAACACAAAATATTATAATAGTGTATACGTTAAATAATAGGATAAAATTGAATACCTGACGCTATCGGATCTTGTGTTCGGCGACCAATCCTTGGAATAGGTGAACCTCCGGCTACCGCTGGTCCTCAGATTTCTCGCGTCGTTCCACCGGACCAAATGATGTTTAAACGTGTTTTTCACTTCGGAATTAACGAAACAGTAGAATATCGCGACCATAAAACCCTGCGAACGGATATAGATACCGATTAAACAAATATCGGTACATTAAATTATAATAATAATCTCCCTATACTACTATACGTAGCACTTCGTCTATAAAACAGGTGCATCCCTAACGGAAAAAATGATATTCCAAGAGAAAATGACGTTTTAATAATTAATATTATACCTACGCTTTGAAAAATGCACATTTATATCCCGAACGTTGAATAGTGTACCCATATACCTATAGTTGAATGAGATCCTGTTTGGCCGCTGTACGCGTATTAAATATTTAAAACTTAATCATTTTATTATTATTTATGAAATGTATGCTGTATACCTGTGCGTGTAGGTAGGTAGGTAGTTAGGTACAGAGTATTATTATACATAGCCGGAACATTTTTTTTATTATTCATTCAAAATAAGTCATGCAAAAATCATCAGACCCGAGTATACACGACGACACTATACGAGTAGGTACTAAATAAAGCTGGGCAAGTTATCAAATATTTTAACTAGTTTAAGTTAAGTTATCTTAAAAATAATAAAAGTTAGTGTTAAAGTTTGAACGAATTTGAGTAACGAAGTAAGTGACCGATTTTCAGGAAAACTTAATTAACTTAATTTTAAAATTTTAAACACGTTACTTCCCAGTATTACCTATATTTTATAATGTCAAATATCGAAGCTCACCTGCATAGACAAAAGCGTAGCCCGGCCGTAGGAATAATAGTTGGAGAAAGTACCGGGTTCGGTTGGTCCGACCATGGTCAGTATGTAGGTGACACCCAACAACGGAATGAGGACTAATAGAGCTTTGCTGGCCTTGCGGTATTGTTGGGTTTCGGCCGAATTCGCCGATCGCAGCTTTGTAATTAGAACCTGCGGCAAGTTTAATAATAATATATCGTCTGAAAATATTTTAAACAGACCCCTTTGTATATTACTATAACATTATTATACATGTGTATCGTACACAAAGTTACAGTCAAAGTGCAATATATTTAATCCGGTGTTTTAGTATATGCTAGCTGTCCTTCGCGGAATTTTTGTTTTACCATTATTAGGTACCTATATTATACAAAAACGAATTATACGAGTGACTTACCCACATGATTTTCGACAGGAAAATTAAATTAACCACCAACACTAATATGGCCGGTCCTTGATAGATCCATTCATGCACCGTTGACATCCACGTACAAGTGCCTTCTTCCTTTTTCTGTGTACACATATAATACGCATAACGATGAATTTAAACGTGAAAATAAAACATTAATAGAATAATAAAAACGTTTGTCTGCAGGTACGGTGGCGTAATTTTCAGGAGAGAGACAAACCGGAATGAGTTTTCCAATCACGCATTTAAAATTTAATATGTATATAGATGTATGGATATGTATATGAGAACACAAGACCAAGTAGGTTAAGAAGTTATGCCCATTACAGGAATTATGATAGGTCCATTACGAGAGGGTGAATCAATAATCGTCCGGACTGAGTGTTATGCATAGTGCTACAAGGCTCAGCAGAAAATAGATTGGAAAAAAAAAAAAAAAAACAGGAAAATTACGCGTTTTAGCCGGTTAATTTGTCAGACATTTTTGCGAAGTTATTTGGTATACAGTGACTAACGACGACTGTACGACATCATTTGAGTTGAAAGAGATATTTCTATATAACAATAATGACGAGCCATTGTATTCCGTAATACAACGCCAAAACGGTATAAAATTCCATCCCGTAAAATTATATTTTTAACGTTTGCTTACTACACCTAATACATATTATATATATATATATATATAATATTCCTGTACAACAATATATCGAGAAACGAGAAATGTAATAAGAACATTATAGTGTGCATCGTTTCGAGTATTTATATAACACCAATAATACCATTAATATAGTAAGTATAAAACGACGCAACGGTGCAGCATTCTAGTACAGACGAGACCCCCTCGAATTCCTTTTGCCGATTATTCCGCGTAGTACTCTGCACGGCAACTATTTTTTTTTTCATTTTATCGTCCCGCCGCCGTGGCCGAAAAACATAATGTACCTACTCGTAATATTAAAACATTATATTCGTCCGTCAAAATAATACACTAATACACATAATATCTAGGTATAGTATCTAGGATAATATCGGATAGAATGTATTTCAAACAGTTTTGAACTTTGAACTATTTATGAAAGTTTCAAAAAAAATTACGCACTTCTATTAGCGTTTCAAGTACTTACTAAAGAAAAAACCACCATTCAATAAGAGCATAATATCGCATATTTGTAACGTGTTAAAAATTCCAAATATACATGTACATATTGAAAGTTTATTAGTTTTACTATGATGCGTGTTTTTTTTGTCTATATAAACAAGGTTTTGGCCGGGAGATTCGGTTCAATAATCAATTTCAGAGTTCTGGTAGCTAATTTTTTCTGTTTTATGTACTATTGAGGAAATAGTTTTCGACTCTTCTTGAACTTTTCTGAATAACAGGAGAAAATCGGAAAACAATGTGAGAAAAACGAGAATATTCACGCAGTGCTCGGTTCATTTTGACTATGTTTTTTACGATGTTTTTATCTAATTCGGTCAAAAATAAACGCAAAGTCCTTTCATCGAATACTTATTGCTTTATTATTATTGTTATTTATTTGCAGTTAACTACTTGTAATTTTTCTGGTGTTTTTTTTTTGTTTTTTTTTATGTAGATAACATTTTTTTTAATACTTAATAGTTCTCGAGAATCTATCGTTTCGTTTTTTTGTTTTATTACAAGCCTTTAAAATCCCAATTTATGATGAAATTTGTAAGAACTATTTGCACATCTTAAATAATACTAAGAACTTTCATACATCTTTAATGTAGGTCTTATATGAACAAAAACTCTTTTGACTCCATAAAAATACTCAAAATGATGATAGGTATAAGGTTTTTACCATATTAAGTTATACACTTCTAAATAGTAGTAAAAAAAAAGAGCTGAGCGCAATACCGTTGATTTTTATTCCTTGGCGTTTAAGTTCAAATTTTTGATAAAACTCGTTAAAACATGTACAACTATTATACCTAATTTATTTTGTAATTTAAAATTAATATAATTTTTAATCTAAATTTACCTACCTTAGAGCAGTGAACACTTTGGTTCGGTAAATATTATATCTTTTAAATTTCAAAGGTATAGTGCGTGCAATTAAAAAACATATTCCTTAATAGGTAGTTACGCCATGACATTGTCTTCAAAATTTGTTCTATAAGTCTATTATCGGAGCAATGTAGTTAATACTCGGGTATAATATAAAGCTATGGCATTTCCAACTACACTTCTTGCTGCACTGGTCCTAAGTGCGATATTCCTAGAGTATAATAATTATGTAACTGTTTTACTCTTCCAGCAGTTTATGAACAAAATTCAAGACTTCAAATTATTAAATATTTGAAAAAACTAAGTGCCAACAATGTTCTAATATTATTATTTTATACTTATGATTAATTATTACTACCTATCCTTTGTCATTTATCAATGGCTATTATTTTTGGATAAACTGATATAGAATCCACGTTCAAAGAAGATAAATTAATATTATCAAGCGATGATAATCCAACAAATATGCATAATGAATAGTTGTATAAAACCAAACCATGTGATAAAAATAACGACTATGTGATAAATTTTCGATTTATTATCAACCCGAATCTAGTATTAATTTGAAAAAGTTATCACCGTACACTGATTGGCTATTATTTAAACGGTTATGTTAATAATTGTCCAAAAATGCATACTATACCGAAACGAGAGCCTAGAAATTGTGCTTACGGTGCCGAATAGTGCGGTTAACTAAACAAGCTACCCGTCGTACTCATACCGACTCTGCTCGGCAAAATATAAGTACTTAACTAGGTAGATATATCTGGAACACACTGGCAGCATATTATTCCATAATTCAGCACTCCCAAAAGTTCACGCGAAACCCGAGTAGGTACCCGCGCCATTTAATTTCACAAATACCTAGAATACTACGCAACATCACATTTCCTCTCCTTTCCTTTCCTTGTTTCTTTTCGTCCTAAACTTCTCCCCCCCCCCTAAGCGTACAGGACATGAATAATTTTGATAATTTCCCCACTAAATAATTTCTCCTCGAAATAATTACCCTTAAACCGCGTCATATATATTATTACGTCGTAGTAATATCCAAAAACATTCGTGGTAGATACGCTATTTTATTGTACCTACATAATATTTACATCTTCTTTTTTCAGAATTGGTCATTATAATAGATGATCACCCTATTTTTATCAAACAAGAAGCAAGAAAATAAATCGCATTATGTAAAGATAATGTAAAGATGATGTAAAGATAATGTAAAGATGGATTCCTGGAGAATAGAGGGGCTAGGAGTGCTTAACCCCCTAGATTTATAATAAAAATAATCGGATTATTATTCTAGCCCTCATCCCTAAAAAAAAAATTACAATATTGACACTGAAATTAGAATAAGGTTTTATAGCTTATTAGGTTTTTATATGTGAAAAGTGATGTTCTTTTTTTTTACTTTTCACTAAAATGAGCCCCTCCTAAAATTCAATCAATTTTCCGCTTATATGACAAAAGAAGCAATAGTACATACAAATGTATAACTAAAATGCTAAGTGAAAAAAAGTACTCCTCCCTCATATATCAAGCCTTTATTAGATGCCAGTCGAAAAAAACACATTACCATTAAACGTTTATAGCAGTTTTATATTTAAATTTTTGAATTTGAATATGTTTACTTTGATTCAACCCACATACCTACATAAAACAAACTATTTATACTATATAGTTGCCCATCGGCAATGATAACATCGTTATAAAATGGCAATCTAATAAATCCCCTAAATCGGATGATTTCTAGACTAATAGCGCTTGTATGGCAATAATATGAGAGAATATCGATTTAATCAATATAACACTAAAATATCGCACTGGTAAAATATAAATGTGCTTTGATCTCTATACGTGTCAACGTACACAGGACATCAGTGTCTGATATTAATCTTATAAAATTTGTTTAAATCGTTTAAACATCGGCCATGATTTAAGAGTTCTGGGATTTATCAAGCGGAATACCTCTGGTTTATTCCTCACGATCCTACATGACTATGTAATTATCAGCTGTTCTCTTAGTCCTATAGAATATAAGTAGAAACTAAACGTTGAGCGTTCATCAGTTTTGTTTTTCACTTCAGCCGTTTAACAAAAGCCAATACCGCGTTCCTATTTTAAACTTTTAAAGACGAAAAAACAATCATTTATCATTCGAAAAAAAAAACGATTTCAACCGGAACTCGGGGCTCGTCAACACAAATAATTAAGACTTTTCAGTTACAACTGGCGTATCGTTAATTTTAACGCTTGTTGAAGATTATATTTTAAGAGGGTATTGTTGTGCGGGAGTATTTTTATAGAAATTGGAAATAAAAAAATGTACGTTTAATATTTTGAATACATCAACAGCCGTTTAGTTGAACAATTATTTTTTAAAAATGTATGTCAAATGAAAATCAGTTGCAATCGAAAATTAAACAGTTTATAAATAATATAAGCTAAACACGTGAATAATGTACTGTTAGACTTTAAAAGAAATATTTTTTCATCTTCTTGTATTATAAGCGAGATAGTTTAAAACAAATATTTGATACTAATTAGAGTTTTGGGAAATTTTTCTCTGGATATAATCATTGTTAATACTATTTTAATAAAGGAATTTTGAATAACTTATGCTTTTGAATTATAATTTAAATTCGCAAAACTGGTTTTTAATAGGAGATCTCGTTAAAATATAATTATATTATAACTTTTGTATAATACGGGCAAAAAATACTTTTAAAACTATTCGAGTAAAACTCCGTCGTATTATTATTCAATTGGTAGGTTTAAGTTAAAAAGTGTAAAAAAATGTATATTTAAATAAAATTTAACCTAAGTGCATGCAGATATTAATAAAAAAAAGTGCTTCTCGAGCTATTATTGAACAGTCTAACCAAAATGTAGTTAATTACTGAAAAAAATCTTTAAAATGCTTGAGAATGTAAACATTCCTTTCTTTATAAAAACGAAAAAAAAACTCCTATTTTAATATTATTGCTTTACAAATGAACGATAATAACTTTATCTGGAATCATACAAATATGATTATAATATTTGAACTTTTGTACTAACAAATTTTCGAGTGCGTTTGAAAAAGTTGTTAAATCAATTTTTCAGAACTTTTCAATAGAGCAATGATAAACTTTAACTAAAATCGCAAGATCAGAAATTTCACCTATTGCCATAATTAAAATACTGTAATATCCTATATGTGGTTCTGTATTGTTTAATATAACTTGTATATTTTATTGTTTAAAATTCTGCAGTTTTTTATGAACCTAAAACATAAAATGTGACTTAATTTATTATGTAAAATAATGATTTAAATATTTTTTCATTGACTTAACATAATTGTCATTAGATCCGGGAAAAATATAATATTGATTGAGATGACTTAACTTCTCTTACATGGCGGTTCTGAAAGGTGTACTATAGTTTAAATCACTATGGTAGGCGACATGGGTAGGAACTCGTAATTTAAAAAGCACGAAAAAAAATCTTGACTTATCCTGAAAGGTATATTATTGAGATAACACGTTCAACATTCGAAAAAGTGACTCAACATACCCTATACAAACTAACCTTGTATCTGCTATTTTTGGTGTAAACTCATTTTCACAATTTGGTAACTTTTAAAAGCTTTATTCACGTGCGCCCGCGAATAATAATATTTCTTTAAAGATTGAAATTAAATTACCTATGACAACAATACAATTTTAAATTCGATATAATTTTAAAAGGTCGAATGTATTCAAATATAGTAGGTAGATTATGCTAATCTAGAATTAATACACGTAGAAACGTAATTTATATTACAAGTTCAATTATTTTTAGAAACACAAAATTAATTATTAATTATTAATTAATTAATTCGATATTTATTAGGTTTTTTTTTTTAAAAAAAAATGTAAAAAAAAAACTGCTGATAATCTAATAGTTTGCGCAGTACCTATATTATTTTATTTTATTTCACGCGAAATCGCAATAACTACGCTAAGATGGAAACAAAATATTTAGAAAAATGCAATTTCTATTAATTCAATTTTCACGATTATTGAATGTAGGATGTAACGAGACTTTTTAATCTAATCGGTGTTTTTAAAAGGTTTACGTGGCATGCATCAAGTATTTTTATTTTTTTTACTCATCACGAGAATTCTTCTATATTTTGCGCCTACACTAAAATTTTCGAATTGTTAACGGATATCATTTAAATGTATCCGCGGCAGAAAGAAAACGCTCTGCCAAATTTAATACATCTAACACACGTATTCTTGAAAACGTATAAGCATCCACAACTTAAAGCAAACGATTCTTTATTCCATCCCTTATATTCAAATATATGTAGTTAATAACGGTGGAAAAAACATTTTTTTTTTCAATAATTACCTTCAGTGTGCACGTCAAACATTATTAATATCTGCTTTAGAAGGGCCTTCCTTGTGATCGCCGGACAAACGGAATCGGTTCCCGTACTAATAAAAATATATACCTTCATGTCATTTGACATTTGCGTGTCACGGACAATTTCGAAAAAAAAATCTATTTTGTTCTATTGTTTCAGATCAAAACTCGTTGTTTTAAATCCGTTGACGTTACATAAACAAACTAACAAATCACAAATTCACCGAACCGGATTGAATATTTCATTTACATATTCGAAAAACATTTCGAAATACGAATATACCTAACTATAAGAGGCCGTCACTGTTGCTATTGTTGGTGTCTGCAGTCTTTCAACGAGTTGCCTGCCTAGTACATAGATTTATGGACGTAGCCTAACCTAACCTTAAGTTTTTAGTATATAATAAATAAGTATCTACACTTATTTATTTATTTAACTATACAAATATTTACATGTATAATATGATTTAAGTACTAGGGGCGTCATTTCAGTGATTTTTCGGATGTGCGAGGTTTCAAGAAGGCCACTTTAAATATTATACCAGGCTATATAAAAATATACATATCATCCTGCTATTAAATGTTTCAATACATTATGAATCGCAATAAATATAAACAGTAAAAAGCCATATAGAATCTAAAAACTAATAAATAACCGACACTTTACCTACGAAAACCAATAATTTATTGGAAACAAATAATACATACAAATGTTGAAGATGATAAATACAGTAAAAAACAAAAAAAGAAGTGAAGTACATAATATTCAAATTAGTATTAATTGTTATGTAATACTTTTGTCCAAACGAAACTTTCTAGAAAAAAAAATGTATTATATTTATAAAAGAAAGGATACCGACGATTTTAAGTCCAGCAAATACGTCTACAGCTTTTTCTGAATCGATATTATTTAGTTCATCTGTTTCAACATTTAGCACTATGATTTTACATTTTTAAACGATGAAAAAAACATTTCATTTGATTTCATTATAATTGGTAAAGATTTTTCGATGAAATAATTTTTAATGTTTCCTTAAAAACGACCGTTAACCGTTCAACGGCGAAGTTATCCAACTATTTGTATGGTTGACTGTATGGTTCCTTCTCTATATCCGTATTCTGTAGGTATCAGGTATGTCTAATAGGTTATAAAATAAATGATACATACATACATTTTCTCCAAGTTTGAAAAACTTAAAAATTATTTTTACCTTTAATGAAGAAACTTTTCCATTAATTTACTTCCCAAAACTCATTTAAAGGGAAGAGGTTCGTCATTTTTAATGAATGAATTTGTTATTTTAGAACAATTAACGGTGAACAATTAGACTAGATAAATAGAAAATTATTTTTCTATGCCCGATTCAAATTGTTTTAGTAATGTGTGAATTTGTTTGAAAAATGGTCTAGGTTTTTTAGGTAATCGGTTTTTCGTTTGAAAATCGGATGCGTCCAGAATAAATACAAATGTAATGCGATTATTTCACAGAATTTTCAAAAATAATATCCGGAAGTCTTCAAAACCTAAAATTTAAAATTCTTTCTCTTCTTCGATAATATTCAATTAATAATATAAATTCCCAATTATAACTATCGTTGTTATTTACACGAGTGTACCAATAACGTATAAAGATTTACGTAAAAACGAAAATCTCAAAAATAGTATACGGAATATACCTACTCAGTGTCTCCGCAATGTTCAATATTTAATTATTTTTCCTCTTCTTCGTCATCGTTAAAATATTGTGTCGATCGTTATATATACACAAACATTATTAAAACCACAAGACTTACACAAATAATAACAAGCAAGGAGTAAATGAAAACATTAAAAATGTATCATGACGACGGTAATGAAGATGGGGGAATCCTCCATGCTACCATCAACGACAACGATTTTTATTTTTAGGTCAGAAAAACTATATACATCGACGTTGAATTTCATGACAATCCGTTTTCCCTTGTATAATAAATTCTCTAGTAGTGTCCATAAAAAAAATCCCGATTGCTATTACGCGTGTAATCGCGTAATTTTATATAGAACGATGATAAAAAAAATATCGTATTGTATTTTACGAGTTTGATGGATCTTCAAAAATAAAATTCCAACGTTGTCGAAATAAAAATGTATTTCGAAAAATACAATATTTATTAATGTATAGATAACATAATATTTTACAATTTTATTTTATTATTATCACGATTTGTTGATTTTCCCTGAGGATTTATAATTAATTTAATTTTTCAAAATATACAAAAAAATATTATTTTCTGGAATCTGATTTAAAACGCTGAGGTTGTTTGTTATTTGACAATCAAAAGTCAATAATTTTTACGGTGTACGATATAAGGGGGAAATTTTGAAAATATTGTAAATATAAGTCGTTAAACGATTACCTGCAATAACATCACATTAGATCAAAAAACGATTTTACTGAAAATCGCCGGATTATGATGAAGAAAACACGATATACAGTTTAACCTAACATTTTCCCGAGAATTAAACCTTTTTTTTTATATGGATTATCAAATATAATTAATGTAATTTAAACACCATTAATTAATTATTCATTCATATATTGGGAAAAATAAGACTAATAAGTAACATAATTAATTCATATTAAATGAAATAAAAAAGTGATAATCTTCTTTTTTTTATTTTTCAAAGAAATTTTGAACATTTCGGTTATCGACGGCAGTGACAATACAAAAAAAACAAGACCAAAAACCAGACTTACAAGTATACGCATATAATATGGGATATCAAATACCCTGCAGGGCTGCAGCTATGTAATAAAACTGATCGATTGCTGAACTAATGAACTAGAATTTTCTCATTTTGTACTAATCTTATTATACGATTCGTCTCCGATCCAACTAAAAATATTTCGAACATTATATGTATTATATGGTCCTCAGAATAAACATCACATCAAATGATTAACATTATGATATAATAACAATCGTTGTTATTGATAATTTAGTCACATTAGTGACAAAATAAACATTTTTTTTTTTTTTTGCAAGTCGTTACTTGTTTTTTGTAATCAACACAGGAAAAACATAAGTTACATAAAAAAAAAACACGGAGGTTATAGAGAATCTACGAAATAGATGTGCTCAGGAGAAGTAATAGAAGCCAGCGATATTAAATCCTACTGCTATTCGACGCTTCGTTGCTGCGCAATTCAAAATAGTCTCTGTAATTTTTTAATCATGTACCTCGATACATTATTTTTCACAGTCCGTATAATATTCAATTAATTTGCAGCAAACATATTCAAAAACTCTAAAGTTTTGCCAATCAATAAAATATTTGCAAACACGTTTTTAAATAGATAACCGAAAAACAATGATATTATCGAAGCGTTGCTAATAAATTCGTAATAATTGAATTGAGAACCGAATATTGTCTTGTCTTAACCAAATATTAGTACCTAGATAGTTTGAAATAAATATAATAATTGTATGCATATAAACTTATTTATGTTTATAAACAATATTACTGGAGAACGATATAAGCCACGATGCCATTTCATTGTTATCCACCGACGACAGTGTCACCACCATGCCGAATAATTTAAACCGGCCGGCGAATGACACGTGCAACAAGGCGTAAGTACGCATTTAATTATTATATTAATTATATTAACCAATTCAAATTAAAAACTTAAATTAAAATAACTAGTACTGTTGATGAATCTTCTATTATTTTGGATGGGAAGTAGAGAGAAACAGGAAGCTAAGATATACAGTGTCGTAACTTAAAGTTATTGAAATGGACAGTAGCCTGTAAGGTGCAGCCAAATTTCTTAAAACATCTAGCACAAAATGACAGTGGCCATTTTAAAATGTGAACAAATAACAAATTTTCTTCCAATAATTTAAATTTAATGAAAATTCGGTTTTTCTCTAAATATATGTACCGCTAACGGCTGACCTAAAATCCAATTGAACAAATAAAAAAAAAAAATGTAACATGAACAGAAAAATTAGCATCGGAAAAACACAGTGAGACACCTTGCATACGGGATGATTTTTTTTTATCATGAACCAGCAATTATCTCAAAGGATTTTAAGTGAATTTGATTTCTGTTTTTTCTAATCATTATGGAATCGTTTAAGCTTTATTTTTATTTTAAGGTATATTATAAACCATTTTTAAATTTTAACCCCTACTCCATATACGTTGAATAAATCTTACATATATACTTTTGATTTTCAAATAGGAATCTCCCTTTTTGAATATAGATTTGAATAGAGAATAATATAATCATATATATACCCAATCCTACCAAATGTTGAAATGACGCCATTGATATTTGTATGATATTATAAATCAAAATATATTTATGATAGATATTCTCTAATTTCATTTAGTGAAATAAGATAACTTACTAATATTCTTAATAATGTAGGTCGATAAGTAATGTTGATGATATTTATTGTTTACCTATGTTATATGTTTTTCACCTATTTTGGTGTTTTTACTTAACAAATACAGAGGGTAGTTACTACACATTAGGTAATTGATAGATAATATTGATGTTATCTTATGTAAAAGCAATAAAAAATTTACTAAATTGTTCAGTAAATACATCATTATTTACACAGCGTGTAACCAATTTACACTGTATTTCAACCTATATGCTCGTCATACCACTGGTAATTATGATACTGGTAGTTATAGTTCGGTAGTTAAGTATATACTGCGGTATATCTATAGATACATTTCACAACAGTAGCTAGATAGGTACTGAAAACTAAACAAATATCGGTTAAATTAAAATGTATGCCCTATACATTGCATTTTCCATATAGGTTTTTAAAAAGTACTGTATTTATAAATAAATTCTAAAGGGTATACCTACCTATAAACATTTTTAATAACTTAATTAGTATGTAGGAATCTATCATAAGATATGACATGGGTTTCACTCTACATAGTTAGTATTAATATAATATTTCTCTAACCTTACCTATACATCATGTAGGGAAAGTTGATATACATCATTTATCATCTTATCGGGCATCGAATAAGACAATTTAATGTATTATTATTATTATTATTTTTTACTTTCTTTTACTTCAAAATTCAAAATAATATGTCAAATAATAAATAAATTACATAACCGTAATGATTAATTAAATATAAATACATTATTGCGTTCTGAATAAACTACAGAGTAGACAACCGGCGTTATATCGAATAGTAGGTTATTTTTTAGCAATCTTTGTATCTGTCAACTGTAATAATAAAGTAACCATGTCATTATAACCTAAGCATTTTGTTTCGATATGAAATCGAAATAGAAATCTGCAGAGTGCAGATGAACGCGTACAAGACATAGGTTCGTCGTGGTTATTTTATATATTATATACATATATTATGGTTATTGGTTTTACCTGTAATCGTATGTATATTGAATAATACTATGAATTTTCTTTAGAAATATATAATATTATGTATATAAATAGTTTTTTTCGAAGCATGCGCAAGAGTTTAAAAAATAATCTGAATGCAGATAATGTAATGTTACTATACAAGAAAATATTCTAATAAATGATGCAGAAAAATATGTAGGCATGCAAGTATGTATTCGTAAGTAATGTTTATTATGTATTATTTGTAAAGACTTGAAATTTAAATAGAAAACTTGTATTTGCATTTTCTAAACGTTAAATTGTTAAAAAATTTAAATCCGAGTCCTATATTAATCGCTATATCTAATTTAAAAAAAAAAGGAAATTTGACTGGTATACACGACAGGTAATCGATTAATTTATTTATTTACAATTGTGTTAATAATTGGCTAGGCCAATCACTTTCGAAAATAATATGTAGGTATTTGACATTTTGTTTTAGGTCGGGTTATCGAAGTTTGCACGCGTGCAAATAGATTAATAGTTACATCCCCGAAAACTTTTTGCTATTCAATTTAACGCATTTGAAATGTATATACAAATACATATATTACATTTAAAAAAATAATATTTATAATATATTTATTTGAGTACGAACACCTTTGAAAATTATTTACGAAATCGTTCAAATACTGTTTTTTTTTATTTTTTTTTTAAATATTATCCTATAGTAGCTATAATGTTCGATTTTCTTATATTTCAACGTGGTGTAAGGCGATGTGATTAAATTTATAATATCGGGAGATCGTAAATTCACCCAAGTTCGTAGTTTAATATACAAATACATACAATATAATATTATAATATGGATAAGCTCATTTACACTGGTGTTTGTTTAAAAATATTTTCGTCATATTATTTTACTACGTCGCTTTTTTATACGTATTCGATTTTCTCGTGAACTTTGAAAATGTTTCTTTCCTTAATTTATTTATCAGTAGGTATATTTTTATTGTACCCAAACAACTCATGGACCTTTGTATTTTACATAATATTTTTTAAACCACTCCAACACTCAAAGTTTAAATAATACGATTCAGTGTTCGGTCTTTTTTTTTTTTTTAGTATAACAACTGCTGCTTGCTGCAGTACAGTATTTATTAGTTATCACGGTATTATAATATTTTTGTATTTTGGTGTATTATTTACTTTACAGTACATTTCCCGGATCCATGCAAATAGAAATAGGATGGTTTTTATTTTTGAAATTGTATGTACGTACCGGACTTTGGTATTATTATTAGTGTATCGGATTTACTATTATAATATTATATACATATTTTTTTTATTTTTATTTGTTTCATTGTCATTTATTTTGTATTCCTCAAGCCGCATTACTCAGAAACATTTACGAAGTCAGAACTCCGCGCAAAATATTATTTTATGCTTTAAATTTTAATATAACTATTGCGTATAATATTATTACTTTTACGGCAACGTTATTGACATTTTCCTGTTTCCAAATAATAAAATATCGCGATTCAATTTTCCGCTATTCCGTTCTTCGGAGTTTAACGAAGGATTTATCCACAATGTACTAAGACTGGATTTTATATAGACCTTTGTTTCAGAAAAATCTTTTTCTTCTTCTTCTTCGGTATAGTAGTTAATACCAAATGTGTGCTCACTGGGGGAAGTGGGGGATTGTACGAAGGTATCATAACATATGCCCTCTCATCAACCTTTTTTTCTCTTTTTATAATTACTAATTTATGCTTCATGAATTGTCTGTAATTATTAATTTTATCTTCTTTTCTTTCACATTTGATCCAACTATTTTTTCTAAACTTCCATTAACTGTTTTTGAGTGTTCTCATATCGTTCACAATCACATCCAACCACCTATTTTTGATTTTCCTCTCTTTCCTATATCCTACATTTATTTTCATTATCATTCTAACCACTCTATTCCGCTTTCATGCCTAAACCATCTCAGTCTATTTTCTCTTATTTTTGTACTGTCGAAGTCACACATATGCTATATCTCATATTATACTCATTTCTTGTTCTATTTTTTTCATTTTGTATATTTTTCGTCATTTCACTCATCAACTAAAGCATTCTCATCTCTGATACACTCATTCTTAGCCCAAACCATACATCATAGTTGGTCCCACCACACTCATATAGAACTAAACTATAAAATCTCATTGGAATTCTCTGGTCACATAAAACACCTGAAGCTTCTCTCCACTTTTTCCAATCATATTTAATTCTATGTTACATATAATATATATAACTCTTCTTTTTTTTTTTTATTCCTACATAGGTACATCCAAAATGAGACAATTCGACCAATCCTTACTTAAGATGCCTCAACTATTTGCCAAAATGTTTAAACCAGTCGATGACCTGATGCAATCCCATTTCCGCCTCTTATAACAGGTAGGAGTATTCTGATCTCCTCTCACAAGGATTAAAAATTATTGTCTTGATAGTATTCATATTTGATGATGCATATTCTATACAAAACTATTGTTTCAGTCAATTACGCATTATTATATTATATTTAACTATGGCATAATAGCATATTGTTTTATTTGTAATATAACAGAAATATTGTTTACCAAGTTTACCATATTGAGGTACCAAGTATTGTAACAATATATTTTCTACCTGTAATTATGTTTAATGACTTTATACTTTAGTTACATTCAGATTCTCCCCTTCCATATAACAATGCTAAGTACGCCACTAATTAAGGTCATTAAAATCGAAATATATAAAACGTCTTTCTTATCACTATCTTGTTCGTCGTTAAACCATACCAATTGGTTATCGCAATTTTGCGTTTTCTAAATCGTTTTTTTTTTTCATGCGATCATCCCACCTCATCATTGTACGTCTCAACATTAAAATATCCGTCGTTTTCATTATATAGTAACACAAAACATTGTAAATTGTAAAAAATATAATACTTAATTTACTTGAGTACATAAATAAATATTCACGTAATAGGTATAACAAAATGTCTACATCATTCGTATACAGAAACTTCGAAATTAAAAATACTCGAAAATCGCATACCAAATACATTTCCATCGAATAGATAATAATGAAATGAATATAAGAACTTTCGTTAACGTAAAATTTAGTTTAAATGTATCCAGAATAATTTTATCTAACAAAAATGTCATCACATAACTGCCTTAAAAATCTTTTATCCCCATTTTAAATAATATCTCGATACGATTTTGATAAATCGTTCATTGATCATTTTGGTTACGTGTATCATTAATTAAATAAAGATGGTTAAATTTTATTTTCTAACGCTTTTGAATCTTTGTGAATTTTTGATGTCTGACATTCTTGAACAATCTTTGAAAGTAATGCCGTAGCACTCAGTGATATACTCAGGTTTACCAATAGAGAAGGGTAAACTACATAGTAAATAAAAATCATATATTATAATAAATAATAATACTTTTTCTTAAAACGTTTTTGCAAAATATATTACTATGTTATAGTACAATTGAGAGAGGTTAAAACCATAGTGGTGTAAGTCACATTAATTTTAAAGTTTAAAGTCACTCTTAAAGTTAAAAACCACCGGTTTGTTTCCACACATTATGCTACCACATAGTTGTAGTGATTATTAGGACTTAATTCACTTTGCCTACCGGAAAATTGGACTAAAAAAAAATGCGGAAAGCACTTAAGTCAATTTTAACGAAAACATGACTCACGTCATTATGGCATTAACCTCCTTAAGAACAAATAATCATTATTTGTTCTCAGTAGTTCAATAATTATTATGTTATAACTTATTAGTTATAATTTGTCAATGCTGATTAGTTTTAAAAGCTGTTTTGTATTTTAATACAATCGATGGGGAGAGAAGTTGATATCTCCTTAACCCCTCCAGGATACACGGCTCTGGTAGCGCCTGAATTGTGTCATCAAAATCCAAAAAATCTATTATTACTCTAAATTTTTTAATTTCTAATCGTTTTTAACATTTGTTTTTTTCAACGTTTAACCATTATTAAATTACGAATAAGCTTTCTTTTTACATCAAGATGAAATCATGCCGTATATTACGCGTATTATTTTCGATTGAGATACTGAGTTATTTGCATTATTAATGATTTAGACAGTAAATATTGTCGTATTTTCACGCGTAGGTAGGTAATCACAAAACATAATATTTTAATAGTGACAATAATAATATAAACAGTGGAAGATTATACGAGTTGGTGTCAAGTTTCCAGAGAATGCACCATCAATATTATACTCGTAATATTATAATAACATTTCGCATTTTCACTTGAAATAATAATAGTCTGTTCGTTAGACGAATTATTACGAATCGTCTTCAATTCGGTTGGAGAAGTCTGTAAAGAGTGAGTGAGAAAGTTACGATCCACTTTATTACACCTACTGCATTTTAGAACATTGTCGCGATTTTATTTATTATTTTACCGTTCGTTTGGTAGATCGACCAAGTATTTCTGTAGTCTGCAGACATGTGGAACTAATCAAAACATATAGGGACAAAAAAAATAAACCATCGCGTAATCACAAAATGGGTTGAAAGAAATAACATTTTATTTTTTTTTTTAAATTAATTTCACGCCATACGTTTTACGAGAGAAATATATTTTGTGCTGACCAAATTTAAGTATCAATAATAAAATTATGCAGCATCAGTATAAAATTTAAATTAAAAAATGTTTTATATAATATAGGATACTAAACTTAAACGAAATACGCGTAAATATTTCCCGTATTTGGTTATATTTAATTAAACGCAAAGTTTTGATTTATTTGGTTTATAGATATTCAATTTGCAAACTCTATGTTTCACTCTTTTGTATTCACGAATAAAAACAACGTGCATTTTTTGGAAAACTTTGCCAAAAGAAAATCGATTATCATAACAATATATCCGTATAAATATTACAAATTTAAGGAAAATCACGAAATGAAAATTGAAAATACTTATATTTACTTATTTTTGTCAATGACTGAATTATTATTTTTAAAAAGTATACGTATATCGACGGTTTTATTTTTCACTTTTTTTCAGGAAGCAAAAAAACAACAAAACAGTTTTTAATTGTGTTTATCACGGAAAACAATAAAATTACTCATACACATAATACCTTTTACACAAAGCATATATAATGCTTTGAATGTAGTATACGTACTTTTAACAAATCAGTGTTGATTTAGTTATATTTTAAAAGAGCGCCTGAATATCTTTTAGTCGGCATTTCCAACTTAATTTCTGTATTTAAATACGCCATTTTACCAGTTTATGCAGTTTATTCTTTGTGAATTTGGAATTACATTCTTAATATTTTAACAGTCAAAAGAAGTATCATTATTTTTAAAAATCACCGTGAAACTAAAATCATCCAATTAAAATCGTCGCATTAGAAACTACTGTTTATAGTCTACTGTACCATCACCACTCAAACTGCAAAAACTTATCCGCATTCAAGTAGAAATACCTTCCAAATGCAAAGTACAGATTTGCAATATATTCGTATGTTCACTTCATATTTATTGTCCACTTTTATTTATGAATGGAAATAAATAGAAACAAAAAAAAAATAAAAACTAATCTAAACACTTGGACATTTGTCTAATAAATATCAATTTAAAAATGAATAATATTTAAACGTGATATCTAATTTTAAAGAGTCTGGGTGTATTGGGCGTGCCTTCGAAGTCCTGTCGGTTGATTTATATTTTAAATTTATCATAATTCAAATCGTTTATTCTATCGGCAGTACATACACTTTCAGTAACAGAGTATAAGATTTGGCAATCGAGTATTTCATTTTAATTTCTGAAAGGTTTTTTACTAACCTATTCACGCCGTTCTGTACGGTACGTCAGTATTGATCTCGAAACTATCTAATATCATTGATATATGAAAAAACATATTATATAAAATCCAAAATATATGTAAATGAATACTCGAAAATCGAATACTTAGTTACTCATTTTGATCCAAATTACATATGTACACTTATTTTGCTGAAAATTACAAACTCCTGGTCGGTTAGATGTCGGTCGATTGCGTTGTCCATCTCTCAAATTGAAATTATTTTAACGATTTAATGTTATATCAGACGTATTTTTTTTGTACTTCCCTATTTTTATTCTTAAAGCAATGAGTTGAGAAAAAACTTGTTTTATTTTACTTTTTTTCAGCTCAGAAGAGGTCAATATGAGAACACATTCTTTTCTAAAAGAAATTTTCTAAACAACGGTAGGTAAAATATAAATATAAATAAAATATAATTTAATTTCTTCAATAAAAAATCTATAGAATTTAATACCTAACTCACTGTTTTATTGTTCGACTCATTTTATACATGACGGACATCGAGTTTATCAATAAATTTGTTTATTTTCAAATCTTAGTAGTTAAAGATTAACGAATTTAATATTTTATACTAATTTAAAAAATGATACGTTTTTAAATAATATTATTTTACTCACCTCACTTTCGAACGACGTGATCATGTTGGCAAATCCCCAGATAATTATTATTACCAGCGGAATACCTGTAACAGAATAACTTTTAAATTTTAATTGAAAGGTTCCGAATTTTTTTTTATAATTTATAATTTAATATTTATTTTACAGTGAATATAATGTTATTATCATCATAAATATTACCCAATAATTTATCGACAATATGTATGATAATATTATTACAAGATGTAACTAGATAATTTTTCTACTCAAATTGTTGTGACTTTGTTATTACCAAAAGAAAATATTATAATAGAACGAATCGTTAATCCGAAAAATTGTAGGAAATATATGATATATCGACAAAAGAAAATACAAAAACAAATCCAGATCCAAATAATTCTCTATTTTATTGTTAATTTATTAGATAGGTGCATAAGGTAAATCGAACTTTTTTTTTAAAAATATTTTATGTAGTCAAAAGTAAAATAATTTATAACTGTACAATTAAAAACTAAATTTATTACCATATTATTATTTATCCTTATTGGCTATATTTTCCAAATAAATTCATAAATATAATATAATATAATATTTTGTAATTTTACAGTTTAAATTTATTTGTACGTACAATTCACTTTATTATTATTTATTATAATTGGATATTTTTGTATATATATATATATATATATATATATATACCTACATAAATTATTTACAAAAGTTTGTTACCTATGCAAATTTATAATTTTGTAGGAACTTTTTAACAAAGTTTTTATTTGCTCAAAAACTTGCTGATTACTAAGCTACCAAGATATTATAATGAAAAATTTCGTTAAGAAAATCTTACTAAACGTATTGTAATCACTGACCGGATTGATACCCTTGGATTAAACAAATAATAATTCAGTTTCTTTCTTTCTCTCTCTCTCTCTAAAAACATTCTCATTTCCATTCCCAAAATAAATACTTATCAATCTCATATTCTCTTTTCCAAACAAATTATACAATTGCCGCATTATTATTCTCCACTAAACGCTATAATATAATTGTTAGCGTAATTCTCTCTGTATACAGTTTCGTCTCTTTTTTTTTTTAATCATATAATATATATATATTATTATATTTTAATTCCTTTATATTGCTTATCTTGCCTCTTTACAATGTCATATAATAATTTTAACGGTTATAAATATCCCATCTGGTTCTTTGTCTATAATCGACAGCGAACAATGAAAACACTGTAATATATGCAGTGCGCAGTTTATTTCGTCAAATCTTGTATAGACTTCCTATTTTTAAAAAACTCTTCTGGCGTTTTTTTTTCAATTCACCATAAACTATAAATTTGATTGCGTTAACTACTAACAATAGGTACAACTGCTGGAATAGATATGTACTCTTTTCTGATCCACGAATTACATATACATAATGAACGTTCATTATTCTGTTGATTGATTATATTTATATACTTCTCAATTATTATATTATTCCTCCAGTAAAATTACTTCGAACTTACCCTTTAACAATAAAATCTCCACGAAAATATAATATCAACTTCATTAAAATTGTAAATCTTAAAAATGACCCCGAAAATTCCTTATTGCCCTCGTAGCTATGTATGTACCTCTGTGGATTATATAATAATCAAAACCGAAACTTATTTTATTTTATTTATTTATTTTTAAAAATGTAATTTGTTCATTATTTAGGAGTGAGGAATGTATTGGTTTTACAATGGTGTTTATATTTTTTTTTATCTGTGAACAAATTTTTGCCAGAAATTTTACTCCGATTTTCAAGTGTGGCACTTTTTCTCAAAAGAAATTGAACTGGGGAAGTATTTCAAGAAAGTTTTTTTGATTTATCCAGGGGTCTTCATAATGAATGAAAAAAACCGGGAAAATCGTTAGAAAAACGGAAAAAATTACGAAATGTATTATACTAATGTATCAATTTTTACTTTTGTTTTGTTTTATGATTCAGTTAAAATTATTCGTAGAGACTTTAAATTTAGACAAAAAAACTTATGTTTGTATTTCCTAAACATGGTAAAATGTTCAAAACATTTTAGCCATTTTTAAGATATTTATAAACAGTTTAATTTTGTGAGTTTTTTACGTAATTTTTATTCGGTAGATATAAAAACTGTGGAAGAAATTGTTAGATCAAACAGAAATGATTGAAAATTAAACAGGAAGTTCATTATAAGTCATGCTTTGTGGATAAAAAAAAAATTGAGTGTAATAAAGAATTTTTTTTTTTTTTTTTTTATATAAATGTTAATATCAAATTTTGACGATAATCGTAAATATTAAGGCTTTTCAAAATACGTATAACTGAACTCCACTCAGAATCAATGATCAACCGTTGTGTACAGATATACGTACATATTGTAATATTTCTCTAAATCCTACCTTCCCAATTTCTCACTGACAACAGTAGCCTCAGTATTAGGTCTTTTTTAAATTTTTTTTATAGTTTTTAAAATCGTTTAAGTGATTAATACAACAATATTCTGTTATATGCTATGTACAGTAAATCGAATTTAGGTATTATAACAAGATTTTATTTTAATAATCCAAAAATACATTGTATAGGTAAAACTGCACAGTAACCAATTTAAAATTCGAAAGTTACAATTAAAAATTATAATTTATTTCTTTTAATAACTGCTAACTTAATCAGTAAACATTTGTTTTTTTTTCATTTCTTAATTACGGAAAAACAAACTTTATTTTTTCACTTTTAAAAATTTTCAACATAGCCATTTTGTAAAAAAATTAATTTTAAAAATATGAATGTATATGCCATACATTCATATTCAATAGTTTCTGAGAAACAGCCGTTTTAGTTTATAAAAAATTGGCGTGAAAACAATTAATATTCAACAAAAAATAAGGAATTACTGATCACAATCAGCACGATCATTACTGCGTACGTATTATTCTATTGAAAATTCACTGTTTTCACGCTAATTTTCTAGAAATTAAAAAGGATATTAATCAGAAACTATTGATCAGATATGAATATATGTACATCAATTATTGTAGAATAATATTTTGTTACAAAATGGCTATTTTGAAAATATTAAAAAGTGAAAAATAAAAAAAAAAATTTTCAGTGATTAAAGAATGAATAAGAAAATTATTTTTCTCTACATATATGTCCCACTTACCCAAACCAATTAAAAAATAAATAAATAATTAAATACAGTTATTGACATTCATATAACACTGTAGCACCCTGTATACATACTATATATATATATATATATATATATATATTTATTTATCAAGAAAGGATAATTTGAAATAATCCAAATCCATATTCGATTTAAAACTGTAAGCAATGCCAAATTCGATACTGATGTTTTTATATGTTCCTTAGGTATAACAACTTTAGAACAGAAAGGAATGTAAATAAAATTATATAAAACATCGTATTCTTCAATATCATACAAAATTACCTAGGTACGATGTACACATTACAAAATTAATAATTTTAAGGAAGAAAAGAGCTGATAGTAGAAACGGGTGCGGTCATTGTTGTAGATTTGGAAAATGAGATGCATTGGATATCCCTTAGAAAATCAAAAATAACCTCTTCGATGCACCCAGCTAGACAAAACTACCTTTCAATAACGATGATACATTCTATTAAAATACGATTTCTAGTAAAAAAAATTGTTCACAAACACAAAAAAAAAAATTGGAAAGGTGATTTTTTTTCGGGTTTACTCAATTATTAAATGGACAACACGGGAAATCATAAGACGACTTTCTTATTCACTAACCAGATTAAAAATTCAACAAAAAAGGTTCCTTGTCGTTTTTTTATTGCAGCAATATTTCTGGTAGAAAATATAAAGCTTAACAATTTAAAATAATTAAATCGTAAAGCCGTACATTTTTCAGTTCTCATTCTACGCTTTTTTCCGGTTTTTCGTGATTATTAGGAAATTTATACGGAAAGCCAAAAAACGACTCTAAACTTACTCAAAAACTAGATATGCTATTCTTGAAATTTGGACAAAGATTTCTGGTTGAAAAATCTTAAAAATTTTAAATAATAAAATCGTTGTGCGTTCATTTTAAAATTAGAACCTCATCAATTTATACTCTTTTACTTTCATAATCCATTAAATTTATTTCTTGAAAATTTACTTCATTGAAACAAACGGATAATAAGACGTAGTGCAATTATATTATGTTCTATAAAATAAACTTAAGTACTTTTTTTTTAGAATTTATAGTACCTACTCTCATTTATGATAAAATAATACATTCAAATATTATTAAGTGTTAAAATATAATTTCATTGTATATTGTACTTGAGATTGATTTAAATATAAGTACAAAAATAAGACACTAATAGCTACTCGACTACTTATAAATAATTATAATTTATAGTATACAAGTTTATAATAACTATTAAATATTAGAACTTTATAGTGTTGGGTATAGGTTAGGTCAAGTCCACCGGGAATTATCCACGGTTATGTTCATTATAAATTGATATTATTTTATAATAATATTGTTAGGTAATTCTATTCATACGACAGGCAAACATAAACTGCATACAAACGGTATTAATAATAAATCTAATTTAAAAAGTAAAATACGCATTTAAACTCCCCTAAACACCACCCTCCTCCCCCTCCCCTCAGAGATATACAACTTCTATAATATTAGTGGGCTTGGTATGATTTAAGTGGAATCAGGCACGTAACAAGGATTACACAATTAGGGTGGCCTAATTATAACCGATAATATTTTTCTCGGGTGGCCAATGTTTACTTCCCCTCCCCCTCCAGCACTGGGTACTAATTTAATTTACAAGTATGTTTACATTGTTAATAATATAATTTTATATTCTGGGTTGAGCGATGATGCTATTTTAAATTCTGAGTGGAGTGAAGAAACTTATAGTTTTACAAAGGTGTTAATTTTGTTTATTCCAACACTAAAGTTTATCCAAAAAATAACCGCATGTAATATAACTGTACATTCAATTTAGAGTAGATAGTAATGTATTAAATTTTCTATCTGAGGGACTGGTTATCGATACCAAGGTTTTAGATTATAATGTATTCGTTAATTAATTTATAATGGTTTTTAATTGACTATATTATCGTTTTTATGCCAATAGTTTTAATTAAAAATTATATTATTATTGTAACAATTATTTTAAATTTTTTATAACAAAATATTATGATGGATTCCAAAAATGTAATTTATAATTTGTACTTGTATTGTATTATTTAAATAGTACCAGATAAGATATAACTTTTAAATAATTTTTTATTAATTCACGCACGATTTTTACTTAACAGTTAATTTACTACATTTACTAGCCACTAACCATTATATAGTATTACATAGTAAATAAACTAAGTAGTGCATGTTGGCAACGTTGTTTTCATTTTTGTACGCAATTGTAATATTTTTAAGGGTTTAGGTCAGGTACAGAAATCGTACGCAGTCTTATATCATCGCCTAAGTTTTTTCTCTTTTCAACATATTATGGTAACAAAAGTACAATTATAGGTATTCAATTATTTGAGCTTTAGTTTATTTCAACAATATAACGGGGTGGCCATTGGGGTGGCTTGTAAATATTTTTGGTGCCAGGTGAGTGGAGTTAGCAGTTAATCTGCTAAATTGTTTTATTACACTCTCGCCCCCTCCAAAAAAAACACGTCATAAATAGGTATAAATAAATATATGTAGGTACATATCGTTTAAATAAATTTAATATTTTAATTATCTTAACCTAAATTGAAAAGTGGAATGAAATTATGTTGCGTTTAATTAGTGTCAAAAAATATAACAATACATAATATATAATAAACGACTTAGCAGCAGACGGCGCATATATTATATTTGTCAATAGGTGTAATTTCTAATAAATGTAGTAATTTGCAGTAACTAAAAGGAGCTAAGAGATAACCAAAAAACAGGCGAATTATCAAGAATATCGAAGAGCTCTGATTTTTATACAGTGTCCCAAATTTGACAATATATGATTCTTTTGCGACGAACGAAATAGGATTTTTCGGAGAATTTTTTACATTACAATTATTGTATCTCGAGCAATTATTAAAAGAAAGTTTTAAAAAAAACACAAAGTTGCTTGAAAAATAGTTCTTTCCGTTTAAGAAATGTAAATTGTATATGTTATCAATGTGTACATCATCACCAGGGTTAACAATTAACATTCTATTACCAAGCGCAAGGTGTTTATGTTGCGGTACTTCCAATCATCATAAAAAAAACCGATTCGTATACTTCACATGTCCACGATATAAAAACTTGATTTAGTATTATCAACTTTATGACAATTTTCAGATTTATCCACAAAAAAAGACTTTTAAAAAAAATTAAATAAAAATACCAACTTGAAATTATGAAAAACGTCTGTCTTATAAAAAATACATACAATTTAACTACTTACATGATCAACTTGGAAATATTTTACATTTTCTATGTTTACAGGGCTCTAAATTATTTGAAAATGTTTTAAAATAGAATTGTATTTTAAAACCATTAAAATGGCACCAAATTACAAGGTTTAATAAGAAATGCCGATTTTTAATTTTTTGGACAACTATGATGCGCAAAACCGTGTAGGTTATGCTTACCAACGGCGAGCGGAATAAAGCGGTAAAGCACGATTCCGTACGTTTTAACGTTTTGGGAACACGATTCCGTCCGATTTTGATCAAAATGATATAAAAAAAATACGATTACGTACGAATTTCTGGACAATGTTGCCATTTACTGTTTATTATTGTCAATTTGTTTAGTTTTCTTAAATAATAACGTTATAAAAAAAGTTGATAAATTTGAAAAGTCAAAGTTAAATTTAAAAAAGATATTTATGGAGGTTAAGTAATACAAGTGATTGTCCTTTTCAGGTTTCCAACGAGTACCCCCATTAATTGAGTTCATACATTTGGTTACCGAGAAGGTTTAAAACTTTGTGATATGACGTTCCCGGTAGGCACTAATTCGGAGCAAAATAGTTATACACATTACACACTATACACAAATTTAAACTGCACAGGGACGAAGTCGTGGGTAAAACTGTTAAATTTTTATACTAAAACATTTGATCCGACAAAAAAAGTGGCGTGAGCAACGACCGACGGGACAGCATAATATTTTTTGCTTATTATGTAGTTCGTTAACTAAAACGAGCAAAATGTATATTATTAGGTACCTGTACTTAGTATATCGGTACTAACTTATGAATATAACCTATTCAAAAAGCTTTTAGCTAACTTAATCAATATAATACATTTAAAAGATAGCGGTGTAAACCAAAAGGATGTGGGTAAATTCGATAAATTAATAAGCTTGATAATTATAATAGCGCTTTTCTTTCTCTTATAAACTTAATATAATATAAAAAATTTAATTGCACTTATACTATAGGGTTTTAATTAATTTTAATTTATAATATTACTGATATATTATTATTATTATTATTTTTATTCAATATATAATCGATTCAGGCCGATGCCCGAAAATACAAAGAGATATTAATGACAATTACTTAACTAACATAGAAGCTTAAAATTAACTAAATTGATATACGTTATTTGTTAAATTATTTAGTAAAACCATTTTTTTTTTTTTTTTTTACACATAAAATTAGACATCTATCAAATTAACAATATTATTAAATATAATTATAAGGAAAAAGAAGGGGTCATATATATTATGTATATTTTTGACCTGATACAAGGAAGGTCAATTAAAATAACTGTATCCGAAATGTAAAGACAAGCGAGTTTCTTGTAGTTTTTTGATTGGAGCAAGATTTTGGGTAGGTAGAAAAATTGTTTACAGATGTAAAATGTAAAAACAATTTTAAATACTGAAATCTGTAATACCGTAAATATTTATCCGTTTTTAATAGTTATATCTATTATATCTAGGAGGTCAAAAAAATTATATGTGTAAAGAAAAAAATTCAACACTAGCAACAATAATTTCTATAACAATATAACAAATCTCCGGTGTGAAGGATGCTAAGGAACGATAATTTCCCCTGAAACGTATTATTTCGCGAGGTGAAAACCAAAGTCCAGCGGAGTGACATGTTCCCGAATACACATTCGAACATTTCGATGTTGAAATTCAATGAATAAACCTCAAGGACATAAAATCAATAATATGTTCTGATGCGTACAGATATACATTAAATCGCCATGCACATCCTAACTTCCAAACTTCTCATTTAAAATAGTGACCCACAAGTACTTCGCACAATATATCCGTCTTTTTTACCATAAATTGAAAAAAATATTGCGAAAAGGGTGGACAAATCAGAATAGGAAAATGTACTGCAATAAACGGTCTCATTATCCTCAATTTTGTTTAGTAATTCGGTTAAAAATTATTGTAGAGACTTGAAATTTTTTTATAAACATACTAGCCTTTTCGCCAAAACATGGTAAATTTTTAGTTATTTATAAGCATTTGACATTTTAGATTCCAAGCGTAGCGAGGGAACTATTGGTTTTACAATGCTGTTTATTTCTTTTTGTTCTAGTCTGTGGCCACTTTTTTCCTAGTAAACTCTCTCTGATTTTTACGTGTAGCAACTTTTCTAAGAACTCGAGTCGTTTAGATGGTACTTTTAGTATGTCATATTTTGATTTTCGACGCTATTTTTTAAATAAAAACACTTGAGTGGGAAAAAACGTAGGAAAACATACAATTTCACGATTTCATTATTTTATAAAAATACGGATAGCGTTTTCTACCAGAAAAAATTATTTAATTGAAAAACTACAAGTTACTTTTTTTATTGCCTTTTTAATTTTCTAACAGTATCATCACCATAACTTTTGAGCCATTTTTGAGCTTTCGAGGAATTTTAATTTTTAGGAGTTTTTTTGCTGTAATTACACGTAGAGACTTTGAAACTTGGTAGTAATACTTATATTGGAATTACCTAAACAAGATAAAATTTCCAGAATCATCTGACAACTTTATTTTTTTAATAAAAACTTTAAAATTAAATTTAAATGAAATCTCAAAAAAAATACGGCACTTCAAATTATGTATTACCGAACTGCGCTCGGAATTGACTTTCGTCAAGCAATGATTTTTCGTTCCTTACAGATATAAATGAAATAACCTTATGTCCCTTAACTTCTTACCTACAATAGTGGCCGCTCCCATCCCTAGTATCAGTTTTTTTTTCTTTTTTTTTTAATTTTATATGAATACAATTTTTCGAACGATTAAAAGTGCATGGACAATTTACATGAGATTCATTATAAGTAATACTTATAAGTAAAAAGTGGTAAAACAACTAGAAAGTTGAGTATAATGTAATAGTTTTTTTTTATTTTTTTTACATTTTATCGTACAAATTATAGCATTTTTATTACATATAAACAAACTTTGCTCAGTTTTGTATTTTGTCATTTAGATATTTTGATAATTTAGTTCATCAAATTTTTGTCACACTACTGCTAAATGTACCTAGCTTTTTAAAATATTTAAAGCACTTTTAACTAATAGAGCATATTATACTATATCCGTATTTAATTAAATTTTACAAAAGTTACCGAATGAAACTCTAAAAAATTATTTTTCACTGAGTCAAGAAAAAATAAACCTATAATATAGTTTCTCATTACTATATTATATAAAATGGACGGTCCTTTAAACGTACTATATGCCTTTTAAAAACTGAACAATTTGAAAAATTAAAAACTTACCCCAGCCAATGAACATGTACACGCGGAGCTTAATATTTTCTCTTGTAAATGTTTCCACAACTAAAATATACAGATACAATCCTAAAAGAAAAACCAAAAATTACAAACCGTGAAATATAAACAAATTATATATAATTCGTTAGTAGTTTTTATAATTGTATCAATTTTTGTCAAAACTCACCTTCAACGAACATCCAAAAGAAATTCGTTAACGTAAAATAACGTAAAAAGAACGTCAATAACAAACAACCGTTATTATTAACAGCCAGCCATTCCTAGAACAAAGTAATTATTTCAAAAAATGAATTAATTAACAACATTATACCGACATAGTTCAATAATTTGATAACATATATTTAATTTATTATATTTAAATAGAATTTTTTTTTTTTGCTATTTCATTTTGTAAGAATAAATATTTGAATATAAATATCGATTTATTTAATCCGTTCCAGTTTTATGGGAAAAAAAAATCATTAAAAATTTAACGTATCTGAATATTACCGTCACAGTGAATATTTCACGTGTGCTGGAGGCAATATATAGATCCACCTCCAAAACCACTTTGGGCCGTAACTTTTTAAAATTTTATTTTTATTTTTTACCCTTTTTAAGGAAAAGTAAATACATAGATGAAACCGTAATTATATTTTTATTTGAGGATTATATAATAGTACTGACACCGTACAGACGGCGATAGATAATTATTTGTTTATTAAGTTGTATTCGATATGCATTGATTAATATGTTAATAATTGATTTATTATGTTGTTATTCTATTTCAAGTAGTATATCATTTTTAAACGTTTGATTAAGATTTTTTTTAAGGAGAGAGGGAGAAGAATCTTTAAAATTGAACTAACTTCCACCTCTCCTCTCTGAACTTGAATTATTATAACCACCATTGTTTCGTCATAAAGCAAAACATATGTTTCTTTTTGTAAACATTTAATGAATATGACTTGAAAACTCATATAGGTTTAAATGAAAAAATTATACTTTTACGCCTGCTTTTTTTTTCTATGGATTTTCATTAGTTTAATTAATTATTAGGAATGACAATTTTCAATATTATTTTAATTACGTGGGCGACTGACATAATCGCATAATATTACCTATGATTATCTATGCAAAGGTATGACAGATAGCTTGTTAATAATACTAATGCTGTCTTAGCCGTATACCGACTTTGCGCAGTAAATCTTCATCTAATTTTCTAATTTCATTTTCTTAACAATCGTATCTGCAGACATATTGTACTCATAGTAGTATTATAATGTCACCACCACACTACCACCTCACATCCTCGTGTATAGTAAATCCGTGTATCAATTATATATACAATAGTATATCAATTGATGTTTCCGACAATATTTGGTACGCAGTTTGTAAAATTAAATCATTTTCTAATAATCGACGAATTGTTAGTCTAGTGTAATTTATAATGATCTAATTTTGCGAAAATCGACTTATATGATGTATAATATGTAATATCCTTTGGAAAACATTAATCTGCACAAACCTGTAGTGTTGACGTCAGAATCCATGTGAAATCCGATAATATATAACTGCACATCAAATTTGTATGGATTGTATTTCTCAGGCATCGTAGATCTCTGGAAATATTAACCATAATATAACGTAAATAGTGACCACTTTTTCATTGTATTGCCAAAAAAAAAAAATAACATCGATACCTGTATTATAGGTATGAATCTAAAAAGCTAGTATATTAGCCGAAGTTAAAATAATAATAATTAAATAAAACCGCATAATCATGTTATACAGAATTTTATGTTCTAAAAATAAATTTTAATTATGGATCCTATTAATTATACAGACAAATTTACCAAAAATTACTTAATTTCAATATTCTTAACTAACATTTGGAATTATTGCACATTTACAGGCGCAGTTTGAAATATATGGTGAAAAACTTAAAAACATTTTTAAGGACAGTTATGACGAAATAATAAAATTTATCCATTCGTCTTCACGCGGCTTCAAGGAGTTTCTTACTTGTTAGCTGAATTCCGAATGCAAAGAACTTATTTGATATATTGCGTTATTCAAAAGAAGAAAAAGAATTATATTGCAAATTAAAAAGAAAATTTTCTGATGAATTATTAATACAAAAGTTATTATGTAGGAATACCGCTTTAATGAACTGTTACAATTTATTCTTTTCAAGCCCTTTAGTCTTTAAATTACGTGTTCTAATTTCATCGATTATTGCTTATTGTAGCAGTTGTTTTTTTTTTTTTGTGTAGACAGTACTTTTCATTATGCAAAAAAAAAGTTTTTCACATCTTATAGAATATATTTCTTTATTTTAAAATATAAATATATTTATTGGTCTTTATAGTCAATATTCCGAAATTTTAAAAAATATACCTATCACTTTTTGCATTTAATGTATAAGTAATCATTAGCACATAAAACATATTTTCTACCTTGAGTTCTCTTTTACGCAAAAACGGCGCATAAAATAAATGTTTTTTAAAATGACTTCCTGTATACTTGATATTTAGAATAATATCGTTTGCTTTTCAAATGATTGATCAATATATTCGTCGCATATTTATGTATATTTAATGTTAAGTGTCTATTATTATGGCCAAAATTTATCGTACTGTCTACGAATTTAATCAATATAGAATTTTTTTATTTTTATTTTAGATTCTGAGCATACCGAAGAATCGGGTGAATGCATTGGTTTCACTATTATGTGTACACTTTTTTTTTTTTTATTTATTGTTTATAATAATATAATCAAAATACACACGAATTAAGGTGACGTATCTAAGATGAGATCTAAAACAATGTTAGTGTATATGACGTATTATCATAACATTATTGTGACAAAATATATTATTTTAATGAGAAATTACGTGATTTTGTTGCAAGAAAAAACTTTGAAACGTTAATGATAATGTGGACAGTGGTGTATTTTTGGATTTTTTTTTTTTTTGGAGGGGTGGGAATGCTCTGAGAATATTCACCCATAATAGATTGATCATGAAATCCTGATGCACTATACAAATTCAGCAAAATTAGAATGTAAACTCTTATACCATCCCTCCCCCCTCCTAAATACGCCACTAATGATGGATAATATTATAGTAAGTATACAAAATAGTGGTATAAACTATATGGGTATACATAACAAGTCAACCGAACGAAATCAATTATGCGGTCGCGTACTATATCTCTATAGTAATATAGATTCTCTAAATCCCTAAACTATTTTTATTTATTGTGGCGATCTGGTTAAATATTATTATACAGACGTTTATAATTCCATTTTAATGTGATAATTATTTGAATGAAAATGAACAATATAATGCTGCGAATAATTTGTTTATATACACGGATCATCGGATAATTCATTCCTACTTACTTGAAGTACACAAATATAGAAACAGCCACGACCAACGCCACTAACGATATTGTGTAACCGCCATAATAGAAATATGAAGTGTACAAAATCGATTCGTCCGGTAACATTTCATTTGTTTCTAACGCTTTGCATTTCATGTAATCAGAAAAACTGTTCCAAACACCGTCCGCTTTACAATATCGACTAGCATTCTCTGCAAAAAATAATTATCACCTAATATTAACAATTATGATTGCTTTCTATAATAGACAATGCGATGGAATAATCTAGTGACTTTCCGGAACTGTCAATAGCTTTACATTTACAGAATTACTTTAACTGTTGAAATTTATATCTCCCTAAGATAAATGCTATAACAACCTCAGCAATCAACAATTAAAAAAAAAAAAAAAGATCTTTTTAACTTAGATAAATTAAATTTAGCTATTATCTATCTGACATAATTCAAATATTTGTTATCTTTATCTATATCTATATAATTTCAAAGCAATTATATTTTTTCTTTATCCAGACAAATTTGAAAGAAAAAATTGAGAAAATATTTTATGAAACAATGATAAGTACGCCAGCTAAAAATGTATTACTGAGCATCTAAAAACACAAAACGATATGTAGTTTACAACTCTAATAATTTACAATTAACTGAACATATAATAATTAATTCTTCATCTAAAGACATTTAAAATGTATAGTCATTATACGGAAATGAAGGGAATTATTGGTTATTTCGAAAAATATTTCAAATAAATAACCATCGCATCTTTTAAGGTACTGAATGCGTGAAAAATGTAATTTATATTTTAATTTCAATGTATGAAGTATCATATTCGGTACGATATTTCATGTATTTTATTTTCATTAACATGTACACTTTCAAGCATTTCATAATAATTGATTTAGTCAGATAATAGTTATGATCTTTAATATTTGCATTTAGGTATATATACATACAGGAACAAGTCTTTTTATGTTTCACATTTTAACGACACTATTGAACATTTTTACGATTTTTTTTTTACAATTATTCCAAATACTCCCCCCCCTCTCCGAATTTCCCTGAAAGGTGAATGTGAGGTCAAAGGGAAATGGGGAATTTCCCTAGACCTAAACCTTGTCCCCCAAGTACCTAATGATACATTAGCACAGTATTAGTCCAGTTAGATAATCTAACCTAACCGAATATCAACATACTTTGCAGACATTTTGACGATATTGCTGCGTACCTTTGTAATGCGTATAAATGTGTACAAATAAAACGATTTGGTTAGAGTAATAATTCGACCGAATCGAGTAAGTCGATTAAATCATTAGTTTAGTCCGTGAACATAAAACTGATAAGACAACAATCAATAAGGTTTATTATAACCTATATGTTATACAGTATATTATCATGGTATATGATATACATATAAAATATATTTAAAATAATATATTTTTTAAGAAAGATGTATTATATTTTTAAAAAAAAAACAGCTTAATATTAGGTAAATTCATGTAGAAATGTTCCACTGTGGTCCATTGCCTAACTATGAAACATTGAAAGTATAAGGTCATTAAGACGTACTAATGGTTTTCATAATTTATTCGAAAATAGGGCTATTCTGCAAGAAATTCGAATTTTTTATCGTTTTATCGAACTCCTGATCTCTGTCGGACAATGTGATTAAGCCTAAAATTTAAGCGATTGAACTAAATCGTGTTTTTAATGATGGTTCATTTTTATAGATACATATCCTGATATCCATATGTAGTAGAATATTAAATCGTAGCAACAGACTTTGCAAAGGATATAAGCGTTAGTGGCGTAAAAAGCTAATTTATATTAAACATTTAAAAGTTTAACTAGAAATGTTTTCTAAAATTCATTAACAAGTACATTATAATATATTATGCAATCATAACCACAAAATTATTTATATTTTTAAATGGATTAGGGTTAGGTACTTACGTGATGTATCATATCGCAATCCATTTAATTCGGTAAAACAAGGTTGGAAAACTGTTACATCAGGTTTCGAAGTTTTCCAACACATCAATTGGTCCCAGTGATTAGGACACCATCCAGGATTTGTTGGTTTTTCAGTTGGACAATTATTCTGAATAATTTCAAACATTTTTTGATTAATCAAGATATAAAATATTAACGCGACAACAGAAAATTATCTATTTCTAACTAGTGTATGATAACAGAAGAGCATAATATATCTACTGTCCTACCCATCTATCAAACTACCTAAAATTGATATTAATAAACCTATTAAAACATAAATTATACTTACGTTATTCGTAGAATTATTCATCGTAAATACCAAATGCCGAATGCCGAATTAGATTAACTTCTGAAACAATTGAGGAAAATTTATATAATAATCTATACAATTATTTTGTCTGATCGAAACTTAAAAAGGAAATTTTAATTTTAAAAGTCTTAATAATCTTAATTACTAATCGAATCTAATCTAATTATATTCTAAATTTATTAATGTCGAATTCTTCACTAACAACTATTGAAGATTTCCATGTTCTATCCATATAAAAGGAAGAAAAAAAATTCGAGTACTGTTGATTGTCAGTGTTATATACAAATATCAAGTCTCTACGAATATTTTGAAGTAAACTACAACAAAAAAACCAAATAATAAAACCATTATTCCCGTAAATTTTCCTGTTATTTTTACGTTTTTTTTTTTTTTTGTGCTCAATTATTCAGAGAAATACCCAGAAAATTAAAAACGATTTTCTTATTCACCGATAAGATAAAAAATTCAACAAAAAAGGTATCTTTTCGCTTTTTTATTGGAGCAATATTTGTGATAGGAAACATAATGTGTAAAAATTAAAAATGATAAAATTGGTAACGCCGTGGAGCACTGTAAATATTTACCATTTCTCCTATAATTTCGATTTTAGTTTTTCCTAGTTATTTCGAAAACCCTTTTTGGTACCAACTAGACCCAAAATTCAACAAAAACAGTATTTTGTCTTTTTTTGATTGGAGCAAGTTAACTGTTCAAAAAATTGTATACAGACAAAACAAAAACAAAAAAAAATTATCATTATAAGATTATCATTACAAATATTCTACACAAAAATACATTGTGGAAATAAAAATAATTGGTTTTTTACAGTTATTTATGGAATATCAGTGTTGCAATTATATATAATAATAATAGGAATACTAATATTTATTATAAATGTGTAAATTAAGTTATTAGTCTAGTGTAAAAATTAACCTTAATAATCGCAATAACATCATACCTACACGTAGGTAGCAAATTTAAATATCATACTTTTTTCGTTATTTATCACTTTAATTAATGAAACAATAACATCCAAATAATCTTTAAAACTATTGAGAGACGACATTACAACACCCAAAACTTTCATTCGAAGTTTCACAACTCAAAAATAGTTTTATTCTATTACGTGCGGCATTTTATTTTTACATTAATTATGTCTAAGACAAATATATTATGTAGGAATGTTGGCGAACTCTATTAACGAAACAACATATTGTAGTGTTTCCTCAATAAAAAAAAAAAAAAAAAAAACATTTCTTGTATTAGAAGTCACGACTTATGTATATTGTATATTATTAAATATTAATTTGAACGATGATATCAGAAAAACGCGTAGGTACCTAATCAGTAGCGTGCACAGGAATTTTCCATAGGAGGGGATGTGACAAATAAAAATCGTGAAAAAAGAGTAAATCGTCTTCTCTATCCAACTCGACTACGAGAATTGGTAATTTCAAACCCAGATCTTAAAAAAAACCAATTTCTAATCAATACATCAATCTTTTTCTCGAAAATCAGCCGACATTTTTAAATTTCGATATTAGATTACTCATATTTTGTTGTATTTTTAAGCCAATGGGGAGGATATAACCCCTAACCCCTCCCCCACTGAAAACACTACTGTATCTAATAATATAACCAGTTATATTTATAAGTATACATTTTTATTGTTTATAACGATACGTTATAATACAAATTGTATTATTCGCAATAAGCCATTTAGTCCGGTGGTATTCGTATAATATAATAAATGTCTACATTTTAGTGATTGAAAATGTGAGCTTGTACTTGCATTGTTTTCGTATAAACGTTTCTCTATATTATTTAAGCTCAATATTGATTTTGTATTTTTAAGTAAAACTTTTACCCGTTTTCCCCGTGTGCTTTTAGAGACTCCTTCTGGATGATTTCAAATTCGGTGATCAAATTTGGCAGATTGAAATGATTAAGATAAGGTTGAATTTAAATTTAAATCTCACCATACTGGATGGTATTATTTTAGCTTTTAACACCACTACCGACCACTAAATAAAATGATGGTATCTAATGCAATTTTGTATTTGGATTGCGTTAGTATCGATGATGATTGTCTTTTAAGGATTATAACATTCAACCACCGCATCCACCATTTTTATGTTCAAGTTTTACCAATTTACGGAAGCAATATATTATAGGTACTAGGTTTGGTATTGCATTACAATTATAGCATTCGGTTATTAATTATTTTACAAAAAATATGTTTATATTACAAAGTAGGGTGGGAAAATTCAACTCTATTGTGACCCCCATTAATGTGAACGGAGAACTTCTTATTTAAGGTAAAATTGTTAGTCCTCAGTAGTGGATTCAGGAAAGCGATAGGAGTGATCGTCTAACCCCATGTCTAGTGTTGACACTATAATTTACTCTTAGCCGACATTATAATCTTAGCTTGATTTATCATTGAGCTCGTCATAAAATGTGTGCCTTATATGAATTTTCAAAATAATCTCGATAATCTTGTCCTGGATTCAACCCTGTCAATTCCCGTTAGCTCAAGTATTTAAAGTCTGGGGGGGAAGCTTTACTTGTTATCATACTTGTTTAATGAAATATTAATAACTCATATTAGTTTTATTAAAGTTGTATTAACCCAAACCTAACCTTACGTTTTGAAGTTTTTCCTGCTTAAACCACTGATAGTAACCAAATTCAGCTACTCGCCGATGGTTTTTTTTTTTTTTAGATTCTGAGTGTTCTGAATGTATTAATTTATTTACTATGATGTGAATGTGTAGTTGATTTTTCTGTGTGTAACATCTATTTTTACGGAAATCTTACTTAAATCAAAAAATGACAAAAGACTTTTTATTGCATTTTGGATCTAATTGGTGTATTGGGAATGTAATTTTATTTTCCGAGCGGTTTTCATAATAATAGGAAAAAACCTCGAAAAACGTTTAGAAAAATGGACAAATATTTAAGACGTGGACGATTTCATTATTTTAATTGCTTTCGATTTGCTTTTTACCATAAATCTTGCTCCAAATTTTTAAAGTAGAATTATTTTTATAGTGAATTTTGGCGATTTTTTAGCTATTTACATCTAGGTATTTGAAATATTAGAATATGTTTAAATTTGATTTAGTGTTATGCAGGTAAAATTGTTTTCAACCAGCAAAAGTGCTTGACAAAATATGCGTAATATACATAATAGTTTTTTTTATAAGTAATTTATGTTCAAATTTTAATACAAATCGTGGCATTTTAAAACATAGTTCTGAGTTAGCCTAACGGGGTGCCACAGCACATTGATGTTCACACTATCGTTCTCTAAGGGTGCCATGAAAATTGTGTTAAGATCCCAATGTGTCTTGTTTTAAAAAAAAAAGTTTAGGAACCATTGGTAACATGTGAGTATAATAGGATAGATTGTATAAAACCCATTTCAATTTTCATTTGTTCCCTATGTAGAACTACTATAAAATAATCAAGTTACCACTTTTTTACGATAAAACCGAATACCTGTAGCTTTATCTTAGCTTTATTTTTATACCTACAAATAATATTAATCTAACAACTTCATTATAAAATTTAAATTTATTTATAATTTTTATAAAATTTAATAATATTATGTATATACAGTTACGAATACTATGGAGAATTATGGAGACTGAAGCCCCTTCCTTCTCATGTATACTTAAAAAATAGAACTTATACTACATTATATCTTCGGTGCTCGGTCAAAGGGAGTTAAGTCAATTGCACTAGGTTTTTTAGAATGAAATTTCACAAAAACCTAATAACTAAAATTGAATTAACTCTTTTTGACCTAACACTAACGACTCCTTAAGGACTTATATTATATTATTCAAATTATAAATTAAACCATTTTTCATTAAATTAAACCAAACTACATTTTTTAACACCCCCCCCCCTTATTTATTTCCTAGATGTGTACATATAATATGTTGGTAAATGATTATACTTAATTAAGAAAACCGAAGTTATAAAATAAAAATATAAATACACGATATACTACTATTACACTATAGAGTACTAATGAATTTTAAAAAAAATACTGTAAGGTGCTGTGAGTCAAAAAAGGTTGGGAACCTCTGAGTCATGTTTAATCGGATTTCGCTCAGAATATTTTTTTGTTAGTAACGATTTACCTGTTGCGTACAGTTATAAATTAACTTACTCTATATTATATATTACCATTTGTTTTATCTTTTAACTTAAGTGTATACATATAGAGTAAACGCAAGGCCAGATTATAGTCTGTGGAAAGTACTTTTACCCGGAATTTTTGTTGATTGTTTTAATTCAGATTAATTCATTTTTATTCAGTTTTTTATTCTAGCGGTCATAATATTATGATATACATGCAAGTTACTTATAGTTCCGAAAAATAAACAAAATTACCTGGGGGTGGTTTTCCAAAATTCGGTCAGGCAAAAAAAAACCTCATTCTTTTATGACATGAAAAATTCAGAGGTTTTTGCAAACCGGAAGAATGTTTAGAAAAAAACCGAATGTTTATCGAATTTTCGCCGCACTCAAAATTCTAAAAATTAAATTTATAAATTTAAAAACAAAACCGAAAATACAAAACATCGCGGCCCGAGGCTACTATCCACCGTCCCACAAACCAGCTCTGAGCTAACAAGATACGTATAAAGCTGAACACCAAACTATACTTACTCGAATATGAAATCTATACCATAATATACTGTTATTACGCCTATAATACTCTAAACATAATTTTATGACCTGTATATATTTCAATTGTCACACTTCGGATCTTTACAATAAACACGTACTGTTTTACAAGTTTTCAAATAAATATAAATGTACATATATGTAAAATAAAATAATTACCAGTACCATATTATGTTTCGGGTATATCTCTATACATGAAAACAACATGCACAATATATGGTACGCGTCGCACAGTGCAACGTGAAAATGATAATCTGTAATATATTTAAACAGAAAAAACAAATAAATACGGTGGACTGACAGGCAGACGCGTAGTACGGATGCGCAGGTGGACACGCAGCGGCACGCACGCAAGTTGTTCGGAAATCGGGCGACCGAAACGAAAACGCGGAGCACACTGAAACCGTGGATGTTTCAAAGTACGGGGCGCGAGTGTAAAGCTTCGGACGTCGACGAAGAGACTGGCGCGCGCCCTCGGCGATACGCATACGACCGCCCATTTCGTGTTGGTTTGATCCCTTTTTTTTTTTTTTAATTCGAATTTTTTTTTATTAGAAATTTTTTGTACGGATACACGTGTCATAAAAGTCGGCGGGGAGACGATTTATTGTTTTTCCCCGATCCGTTATTGTTTCCGGCGCAATATTTCCCAAAGGTTGATATTCCCAATACCGTATTTCCCAATGTGCCGTGTGTCCGGACTGTTCGTTTTCAATCAAATATTATTTTAGAATTAAAATACGTGTGTATAGAGCGAGACTGTTCTCCGGAAATCCGCGATCGCTAAATGGTTCAAATAAATAATACGGAATTCAGGGTTTGGAACCCAAATGGTTTTTTCAATTTCGGTTCCAATTAGGTTTTTCAAAAAAAAAAATTTCGGTTCCAGTTCTTAAAATTACAGAATTAAAGTTTTAGCTCTGACACCGGTGAATACCGGTTTTTAGTGGTATGTTTTGTTTCAAAAAGTGAATAAAAATTAACATCATGCATATTATCTGTAGTATATCCGGGCGACAATTGTAATATTGATGGGTACGCTCTATCAGCACAAATATATCACGTGAACCTGAAATCATAATATATTATTTTCTTCCCACAGCTATAATATTGCACAATTTTGTACTACGCGTTCGTCACCGTCGCCAGTAATATCATGTTAAATTTGTATTTCATAGATACGCCTATTCAGCAAGAATTATGTTATGCATAAAATATGATTTTTGTGTTAGGTGTATAATAGAGTTTTAGTTTTATATTCATTAGTGTAGCAAAAAAACCATTTTCATATGAATGTACGGGATACGTCTTTTGCGACTACTCAAACCAACGGGAACAACAAATTCGGGTCGTCTCTTTTCCGCTGGCATTGTGGGAAGGACGAACGTTTGATTGTCGAGTGAAGACGTAGCATTGTGAAGAGCCTTTTTCACCGGTGTTGTGAAGAGGATCGTCGTTTTCAGTAGTCGCGAAAGACGTACCGTTTTGACTTAACTTTCTTTTTATAATTACTGTATTTTATGATTAATTATTATTTAATTATGCTATACAAGTATCGTGCGCTAAAAGCAAGTATTTTTCTTTAACGTTACTTACTTAAGTAAGTTTACTATGTTGCTTTAAAAACATCCAAAACAAACTTTAAAAAATACGGTTGACTCGTGTTATAAGAAATGGAAGTCAGCGGTGATATTGAATTTTTTATTGATTATTAGAATAATAATGAAAATAACGTTATTTTCAATCGTGCATTTGTATTATTCAATAGGGTATAATAAGAATAATCGAACATTAATTGAAAAAATTATTCGTTATTTCCCTTTAAGCCTGTTTTATTTTTATGAGAAAATATTCGGAAATTATTTAAAGGATACGATGTACCCGCATGTGCTGTCTCAGTCCAACTTTAAAAGACCCAAGAGGACAATACTCCGCAGGTCAATACGGTGGATTTCTTTTTTCAAATTAATTTTTTGAAATGTAACAGTCAATTAAAAACGATGTTTTGGTTATTATTTCTAAACGGCGTATTGAACGTTATATCCGGAATATCAATTAGAATAGTAGGAAAAACGCGTCGTCTTGCCCTCCAAAATATTGTCTTCTTTCGATTGCGTAATAGGCGATTTGAGTATAAAACCCAAATTAACCGAGTACTACGCAGACTGCGTAAAGTAAATTTCGCTATACTGCCCATCAGTTGGACTGAGACAGCGAGACGGGTGTAGCATATTACGTTATGTTGCATTTAATATGCACGTGCATACATAATATAAATAAAAAGGTGCATACGAGTTTATCAATATTATTTGTCCATCTCGCGATCCGATAAAAATTTATATTACAGTAGATACTGTTTATAATAATACCGGCTGTAGTGACATACCGGGCGTAACGGGTGCCCTAAATTGAGGGTCCCGGGAAAACCCCTACGTTGTACTAGGCACTACTGTTAGTTTGCATGACGTCTGCGTAATGTCTGTACGGATGTTATTTTTTTTTTTTCATTTCATCGGGAGAGTCTGTTATCTACAATGAGTGTATTAAACTTTTATCGAAGGTGATGTTTTTTTTTTTTTTTTTTTTTTTACGCGTGTATTAAAGTTACGATTTAATGATAAAAGTATGACGCACTGATTGCAATACAATAATATTATTTTCATATAAATACGTATATTATACATAAATAATAATCTAGTTTTTAAATTCTGTTTTTATCATTTTGGCCCTAATGACAATCGGTTGTTATAACTAATTTTTACTAGTCCCTTGAATGTCATTAAAAACGGTTTCTACTCAGCGGCACAGCTAGAGTCCAAATCTTGGGGGTGCTAAATCTCACATAACCGTAAAAGGCTCCACCCCCACAAAAGTGTGAAAGGTGAACGCAGATTTGTTCAATATTTCGTCCGCGTCAATTTCATTCGTTAAGTTTCTTTTAATGACAATGATATTTAAGTTGGTAAACCATTACTGTATCATACTACTTCTTGGACAATTTTTTAAATTCTTTTAACGATCGGGTGCAAACTGCACTAGTTTGTAGAGATTTGAAAAAACGTCTTAATATGAACTGATCATAAATCCTTAAAAATAAAATTACATTGTTAAAATTATAGATATTTACTGTATTATGGTTATTATTTATTTATATTACTAGGATCATTTTAATAATCTTTTTATTACACATCGTTCATTAACTTCACCAGACGCCGTTATCCGAAATGATTTATAAACTAAAAACTACAAACCGACGGGCGAATAACAATATTTACTATTTATACATTTTTATTTCGATAACTGTTTATTTTTTATAATTTTATAGAACTTTTAGATTATAGAACTGTAAAATTATAACCACCCGCGTGTACAATTACAAGGTATGGCATGCTGAGGGTAGATTAATTAGACAGGTACTCATACGCAGGCCAAATAAAAAACGACCGGTGGGCATTGACACACATACGATGGTGCCAGGGAGTGTTTAGCACCCTTAAATCTAAAATTAGCATCGCCAGATTTTGAGCTAAATAAAATTAAACATAATACTCAAATAGTACGCAGATATGAGATAAGTAAATACTATTATACAGCAATTGTGTATTGATTTATTTTAAATATTATATATTAATAATAAATATTATATAGTATTTATGTAACTTATATAATTATGTAAGTTTATGCTAATTGTTTTCATATTTTTTAGGAGGAACCTATACCCTGTTGGTTATTTATTAGGCAATGGAGATTCATTATTGAAAATCGAATCTTATTTTTCAATTTTATTTATTTAATGTGGAAGTAATATATAATTTTATTTGGAAATTTCAAATAGGCTGAGGGGAGTGGGAGCCACCCCCCTCCGTGATATACTATCGTAAATAATTTCAGTACTCCCACAAGCTGTGGGAAGATTTAGACAACGGTGGATGGGCCGAGTTAAAGATGACTTAATGCGATTAAGAAATGGAGCAAATACTGATTTGCAGTGGATCGAGAAGTTTAGAGGATTTTGGTAGAATCTACGAAGCGCCTGAATGGCACGTGAGGCATAAAAAAAAAAATAGAATAATATCCGGATTTGGATTAAAAACCGAATTTCGGGTTCAGAATTTCGAGAATCCGGATTTTCGAATTTCGACAAAACCAGATTTTTTCCATAACTAGTTCGTATATTATATAGAATGCTTGTGTGCGACCCGAACCCGAGAAAAACCACTATTATTATTTAATTTGGTTGTTATTGAGCAAAAATGTAATGGGAATCAGGTTGTACATTTTGCATATTATATACGTAAACAATTTTAATAATTGAATTTGGTTCTCATATAAAGTGTAAATACATGTTAAGCAATTACATTCAATAGCTATAGTCGCCGACGTTTTATTTAATAAAAAAAAATAATAATGTTACGGGCATTTATATTGTCATGGGCAAGGCCATGCGAAACAATTACTATACATAGAATCGTACATAATGAGTGTTGTTTTCGCGCATCGTCCGAAGACGGTCCCGCCGTAGATTTATGTGTGTATTTAAACAAGTGTATACTTTTTATGAATACACACTTATAGGTTAGCGAACACTTCCTGTATTAAGAAATTATTAGCCCTATACAAAATCTTAACTACTATTTTCTATTACCGGAGTGAAATAACCATCGCTTACCTGTATTGACTATGATTCATGAAAATCGTCACTCAAGTATGAGAAACAAAATATAAATAGGTGTGGGTGTAAGTGTTGATTAATCATGTGAAAAATGAAATATAAATATTTCGATTGATCGTCGCGATATGCACACTAAAGCGATTTACCAGAAGTAAACGTGAAAACTCTAATATGCGACACTTAGGACACAGAACCAGGGTACTGAAAAAGCAAAATGCTACATAGTCAAACTTGATGGCATTGAAACATCGGGGTCCTCCCTAGAGGTACTATATTAAAATGGATTTTCCGTAATGTCCCGGGGTAGTTAGGACCCCGTGCATTATGTTCAATGTACGTACTCGACTACTCGAGTACTCCGTCAATATACAGTCTTATCTAAATTATTCTATATTACATTAACAGTTATAACAAACAAAACTCAAAATTACTCAACCGATTTTGATAAAAATGTTTGATCGACACGTATGGATGTGAAGTATGGACAACGACAAGTATGAAAATGAG